ACACACACACACACACACACACACACACACACATACATTTCATTAGTTGGAGCAGTTAATATAAATGACCCATTTGAATGAAGTAAAAATATATCAACAATTCCTTTCTCATTTCTTCCCATTTTCTTCACCAAAGCAGTTTTATCTTCCCGAATAAATGCTACGTTACCACATCCAAATCCAAAATCCCAAAGGTGTTCAAACAAATTTAATTTAATAGCACTTTCAATCCGCTATTTCTCTTTTTAATCGGTGAAAGCTTATGGAATTTTGCTCTAAGAACATTTAAAAAGGTGAAAAGAAAGTTGGAAAGGCGATAAATTAAACCATCATTTTTTTTTGTTTAGAACGATTGTTGCTTACGTTTAGAAATTGCAGTTATGCATAGTTTAAATTTTTACGAAATCAATTTTGAGAATGATAGGGACAAAAAAAGTCACTTCTTCAAGATTATAAGTCACTGATCATTCATGTAATCACTTTAATTTCATTATAATGCGGTAATTGCTGGCCTTTGTTCTGAATTCATCTCATTGTAATATCTTAGATTTCATTCCACTAATAATGGCCTACTTTTAACAGTATTACATGAGCGCAAAATTTCTCTCATTTTTCAACGTCTCCAAATTTGCTGTTTATTAAAATGGAAGCAAAATGAGTCTAAAAATATCGATTTAGTGAAATTTATGCCTTGAAGATATTTGGAGCTTCAACAGTACAACAGAATTCATGACGAACTTATTTGCTTCATTTAATGGTTAAAAACTCATCCAAATAGTCTTGTTTACCTTTTGCCCAACCAAAATTTCGAGATTGTTTGAAATTATTAAAGAGATTATTTTATTGGACACTGCGATTCAAATTTGGTAGAATCGTCGTTGGCCAATCGTCAGAAACCAAAAGAAATGGAACAAAATGTGGCTGACATTCGAAACAACATTTTGACAAATTTCATCACTAAAATTATAACAATGAAAATTTATATCTGTGTGTACTTTGATTTGATTTTGTAAATTCGGCTTTTTGGTGTGAAATATAAAAAAAAACTAGAGAAGATTTCACTTCGGTATTAATGCTCGGGACAATTAGTAGTTAGCGATAACATTGATGTTCGTTCTATCAAAATATATGATTAGTCGAAGTTTGTATTATGTAAAAACTTGGCAAGATGTAAAATGTAAAAATGTAAAAAAAATGTAAAAACATTTGAATTTTGCTTTAAATTATTCAGGTATACATGATCAGCAGAAATATTCATTCATATTGCCGATTTCCGTGCATTTTACGATTATCGTTCAGTTTTTTTCAAAAGGTAAATGAGAAATAAATGTAACCCTAATAAACAGCATCATTCATTGATATGGTAGATTTATCGAATTTAATGCATTGCTGAAACAATGTCAGTGACAGCGGTGATACCAATGATTAGATCTTGTTGGCGAGTTGATAATAATATGACTATAATTTAGAGCAAATTAAAAAGGAAAGGGAGCTCGATAGAAGAATGAGAGGATTTAAGATGTAAAATTAGGGCTATGAGAAGAAGGCTGAGGAAATTATTATTTCAACGATTATAAGAGTACTTGGTGCAATTTTGAAGCTTTGAAAAATATCCGGGAGTAATTACAGGCAGAAAAATAATTGCAGTGCACAAACTTACTGAAAATTGCAAATTTATTGAAACGATATTCGACAACTTCTCACGACAGCTTTTTTTATCAGAGATATCAACGATACGGATCCAAATTTTCGGTTCAAAAAATACTTTCAATTAATCCATATTGAAAAAATAATAATAATAAATAAGGATTTTTGGTAGAAAAACAAGAATCCAATAATTATAATTGCAGGGATTTGGTAAAAAATTATATCCAATTGTTCTTTTTTGTGCCAAAAATTTTCTGTAACCGGACAAGTAAAATTAGGCCAAATTATACAACTGAAAAGTAGCAATTAACGGAAAAAAGGAACAGTAGCTTACTTTGTTAGCTTATTTTCATATCAATTTCATTGATGGTCAATGAAAGTTTTGCCTAATATCCTCTTGATGATAATTGATTTCACAGGGAGATTTAGCAAAGTGCAGTTATTCTGTCTATTCAACCAGTCGAATCATCAAAATAATATTTTGCCTTAAATTTCTCGGAATTTCATCAATCACTAGGATAGTACACTTTTCCTAATTTTTTCTTCCGAAGATAGATCCAACTAAGAAGCGAAACTTGGAAAGACAAGACATCAAATATTCTGTTTAATCTGTTCACTGGCCAAGGCTTCGATGCTTTGGACAACCTCGTTATAATCTACGAAACAGGTTAAACTATATCTATAGTGACTGGTTTAAGATACCTCCCATATTGCTGTTTTAATTTATTACGTCATTGTAACCATGTTATTAGTACTACAATATTATTATTGTCATCTTTCTATTACAATCTTGCTAATATGTAAGATACTGTTTGGTAATAACAGTACCACTGTTAATTGCCACAATCATCCCATCCCAATTACAGTTCTCGTCATTGTGGCATACTAAACTGGTCTGTTGACTGATGGATCGAATGTTTTTTGGAATGTAGTGAAGGGCTTTTGGCTGGGTGTTGTTGGCGTGGGGTGCTGGTGCTTTCTCGACAAGCATTTGAAGATTTTGGAAGAATTTGATGGATAAATTTTAGATCCAGCCGTTGTTCTTGTAATTATTGAAAGGTTTCGTCAGCTCTTGACCTTCTCCTATTAGTCGTCACAGCGGCATATCATTGAATTGTCATCAGTCACTTCTTTCTCATTTATTAAATTACTTTCTTCTTTCGCAGTTCTTGAACTGTGTGTTAAATTCATTAGCAAATTGGCATGGATCATGTCAACGTACTTGATATATACATCACGCTCGCTTTAAGCTTTCCGTATTCATTGATTTTTCTGGACAATATATTCGTGGAGCTGATCAGCAGTAACGTTGACTTCGTTGCAGTATTGAAAAGGGCAGAATTTGTTGATGCGCTAATATCAATTCGCTTGATAACTAACATCAAAAGTCCTTTAAACCTTAAATTACTGGCAATTTCCTCATTATTTTTTTGCAGCTAAAAAAAGTTTTTACAGCTAAAAAATTGCTATTTATTTTAGAATTGTAAAAAATTAGCGGGTAATGGATTAGAGAGAAAGTGGGAAACCTAAATGCAAACTAAGAATGAAAGGAAACTTGCCCTGTGTTTACTATTGTCATAAGTTTATCATAATCTTCAGAATTATATCTCAAAATTTCTTTCATATTTTTAAAAATGTACTTTCATATTTCATTCTTTTGTTCTGTTAAAAACAGTAATTAAAAATATGTGTGAATTTTTTAATTACTGTTTGGGGAACTCTTATAACACTATGACTTGTTCGTGTACGAATTAAATTTTGTCGTAAACTTGAATCCTAAATTCATTTTTGATTTCTTTCATTTGTAATTAATGCATAGTTGTAAAGTGCACATAATTTTACTGCTGTGAGCTTAGAAAATGGATATTCAAATATTATTTTTTATCAAAATTTGATTTTTATTTTTAGACAGTTGAATTGTTTCATGGGTCGCATGAATCAACTGTACATTGGTTTATGTTGTGGAGTGGTGTAATGCAACGCTGATTGATGCTCTTGACTATGAATGGTATGGAAGTTCAACAAGCAAAGATTGTGGAAGTGAAAAGTCTCGTATATCGGGTTTGTTACTTCTTTGCAAATAAATTTAAGTTCTATTTTGAGGATACAGTTAAGAATCTATCAAGTTCAGTTAAGTGATGAATGAGATTGATAAAAACGTTAAATAAAAAGGAAAAAATTTAGCAATCAAATAAATAAGAGAGCATAACTTAAATGCTGTAGCTATTAGTTGTAAATAAAAAGTCGCTAAAGAGAATCGGTGTCTTAACGTACATTGCTGCCTATAAATTGAATGAATTACCTGTTTTTGTATTGAAAAAATTGTCAAAATCGTTAGTCTTGTTTAGTTCCTCTTGTCAAAAACACAGTTTTTGGTTTGCAATTTTGTTTCTCATTTAAATCGCTGTAAAATTTATAGTACTCCATTTCGAAGTTCTAAATAACAAAATGATCACTTTGATCTAGGTATGAAAAATGTGTTTGGTTGTATTGCTTATAGATAATGAAAAAATAATGTTCATTAAAGTGCATACAGATTAATTGACTTCAGATTGTGAACGACAAAAAGAATTACACCAAAGATGAGCGCATTGCTGCATGCGAACAACTTCAACAAACTTTAACTCATGCTAATGATGTTGCTGTATGTATTACTAATGAGAAAGTTTTATCAACAATTGCAGGATAGTGAATTAAATTTTGTTTCCTAGTATGCAAGGCTGCTATTGTATTAATAATATACTAGTGAATATTATTTGTTTTAAATTAGTAAGTCAACATTATTTTAAAGGATTCAAAAACTTCGATAGCTGAAAAGTTTGTGAAAAGAGTCAGAAAATTGTTATAGTGCTGTAACGGATTTTATTTTACAGAATATTGGATATGATTGGAAAAAATTGGTCGAAGATTTATTGTATTGCATTAAAACTCGTCAGCAGATCGAATTGAAACGTTGTATTTCTGATTGCCTTGGATCTTTGGGTTGCATTATGTTTTCGCAGTATAATGAGTAAGTCTACGAATTCATTGATGCTGAACAAATCCTTCGTAAGTGGGTGTTGATTCTTTGATCTTTCAACGATTTTACTGCTAATCGCTCTTACTATAAAAGTTTTCCGCTGTACTTACAACTCCTCCAGTTTTTTGTTATATATGACTTTGTAGAACAATGCTCACCTCTTGTCTATTTTCTCTATTTCATGAAAATCTTATATCGAAAGGATCCTTAAGAATTACTAAATCAACATAATTTTAAAAGATTCAAGAAACCTTTATATTCAGTCGACTTCGATGACAATGATTATTCACCATTTTTTAGAAATAGAAAAATTTTTTTGATTTAAGATATCTAAAACTGATGCTGAATGAAGCGAAACTTATTCCTGACAAATATGAAGATGACAGAGCGCTAGTATTGAAAGCTATTTTTTCGTCATTGAATTTGATTGGAACTTTTGCGTGGCAGTCCCGTATCAGGCCTCAGGATATCGATGTATGTTATGCCTCTTTTGCCACTTATTTTTTTCAGAGAATCCTTTTCAAATTGCCGTCTCCGGGTCATGTTTCTTGTTATTGTCTCCGCATCATGTTTTTTCTTCATGTTTTGATTTTACCTGTACGCATAGTATAATATGTATCTTACTTCCTGGTATTTTATATATTTTATAATTTCTAGTCACTTATGATTGCAATCAAGAACTGGCTTGAAGTGAACGATTCTTCTGTCGTTCTCATATCATTATTGGATACCTGTTTAGCAGTTTCCAAATATTTCCCTGCAGTATTTAAACACAGCTTTGATGTTAGTTTACCTGTTTTTTTTTTGTTATTTTATGACTGATAATATTACCTTATCGTAGCACTAAAGAAATTATGAGATTTGAGTGTATGCTTCACTTACATATTGGAGTTATGCTTACCCCATTTGTTAATATGTTGATATCGTCAGTGCTTGTAAAAACGCTTTATGGTCCCTTATTTTTCTGTGCAATTTATCATCAAGCAATTCTTCATATTAATAAGTCGAAAATGTCTCTAACGGCAACTTGTTACTCCTTTAATTCATTTTAGCAATAAAACTGCAACACGTATTGACTTCATTCTAATTTCGGACCTTGGAGAGCATTGAAAATCGAATTCATTATGATATACAGTAAACTTGCGCTGTGATCTGATGAAAGTTTTTCAGATATATTCCAGCAACAAGAATTTAAGCCTTTTTTGACTAATATAGACAACTTTTCTCAGGATGTGGTCGATTTCACGGTGGGCTGGTACATTGAACCAGAACAACCGATTGCAGTTTTAGATAAATGCTATCAGATGCTTATTGAGCTGCGTCCCTACTGGCATAGTGCTGTACCGTCTGCAGTAACGCTTATGAAACAATTCCTTGATGATGCAAGTGCATATATTGAGGTATTTCTAAGAATAACTCAATATATTTTACAAAAATTCGGAATAGAATATAAAGCAAAAAATTATCGATGGAATTAGGCTTAACACTTTTTGTAAAGGATAAATTTCGAATTTTGTTTTCAGTTTTATCACATACTTATTATTATTGCATCACTTGATAACCTTATTATATTTTATCCTACATTGCTTTATTTTTCCTCATCATGATAGTGTAATTTATAGGATATCAAAGTGAATGAAGCGAAACCAGAAAATATGCTCTCAAAAACAGCCGCTATATTGCGGGCTTTAATAACAATGCTTGAAGTAATGAATATTCCTGTCAATTCACTTGTAGCAGATTTTGCTGAGAAGGTTGCTATTTATTTACGCTCCAATTTGTAGTGCTGCCTGACTTGCTTTAAAAGTTAAAAAAGAATACAACTATTTGTTTTATCTTTTTAATCAACAGAACTATTAATTCTGTCGATTATGCCTTCCGTGTTTTTGAATACTGCATTCGGTGTTTATGCGAAAAAACTGGTTTTGTTAAACTATCAAAAAGTTTCATTTAATCCATATATAAATTTACATTGATTTATCGATAATGGTTACATTGTGAAGATTTGTTGAAATTTATATGAAATCCTTAGAAAGTATTTTCTTAAATTTTACTGTAGTGATAAGCTAGATAAGATGATAAGCTAATATGAACCTTTTGAGGTTTTTGGGCGCATTGTTAGACTATTAACTCATCTTGACAATGTTTTTGTTGCCAAAATTGGATCTGTATTTGGATATATGGCTGAAGTTCTTTGTATAACTTTAAAAACATATCCGAAGCTTGATTTTTTGGTTAATTCAATGAAAGCTATGAAAATAATGCTTGAACATCCTTCCGTAAACGAAAAAACGATGTTAAAGATACTTGAATGCAATGGAAAGGTAGATTTTAATTTGTATATCTATTGATGATGCCATGCTAAATCCTATTTTGAATTTCAATATAAAGTGCTTTACATCTACATTACTGAAAAATGGTTTTAACTTAATGTCAGTATGCATTATAAAGAGAATAGAGCAATAAGAACTGAAATATCGAACATTATATAGTTTTATCAGTTGGCTTCATTGTTTTTTGTGAAATTTTATAATTAGTGAAGTTTTGAATGTAGTCAAAAACGTTATTTCTTTACAGATCATTGATAGCGTGACTCCGAAAATGGTTGTGGAAATTGTGGATTATGTTATTGGTGACGGTGGACCTTTGAATTATGTTATTATAAGATCGCAGGAAGTTATGCAAGCATATGGCAATGTTTTAGGAAAGCTTTTAGCACCGAAAAATTTATCGACATTACAAGTAGCTTATAATCGAGTTCGGGAAGATGTGCGAAGTAAATTTTTTTCTTTTACAAACAATTATTCATTTACTACCATTTCCATAATTTCGTTAAATACAACTGATGGAAATTTCACGTTTGTAATTTAATATTTCGGTAGATCATGTATCTTTAGATTATCTTTGGATCGAAAAAATTTTGTACTTGATCATCTTTCTTTCACTATTAACAGAGTAATCAAAAACTTAAAATCTCTATGTATAAAAAAATAAAAAATTCCTAACAAAATAGAATTCAATCTATCGTATTTAAAAATAAAAAATTCTATTTAAAAATGAAAATTTCTATACCACTTTTTTTGTGTAGCAACAGTACAGTTCATTGCTGGTGGTAGTAAAATAAAAATTCAGTTTCTAGGCTCCACATTTATTTGTCAGGTAAAACTGATTTTTGACTATCAAATGCATTTACATATCATTTTAAATTAACTATTAATAATTTATTCTTGAATATGGGTTGTACTAATCCATTATTAGTTGCTATTGCACCAACTTATTGTATGCAATTTGCAGGTTGCTTAAATATGTTGCAAGCAACTGAAGCAGAGGAGTATTGCAGCAGTAGTCTGTTGATAGAGAAAAAATTGATGATATATTTCAATGCACTCTACAGTCTTGGAATCGTTAAAAATTCACTTATTGCTGTAGGTCTTGTTTCTTTTCTGTTTTGGGACATTTAATGAACTTGCTGTGTTGTCGAGTTTCTGGTCGTGATGGTACGCATAATCTCAACTTGTGGTCGTATCAATTATCATCTCGTTTCGAAATGAAATATCTTCTGTATAATGAATCGTTAAATATGATTTCCAGATGATGGGTCTTTCACCAAGTCTGTTCGCATTTCTGATGACAGAAACACCAATCACGAAGAAAGAGTTTATCATTAATTATCCTGGCTGCCATTATGCTCTGCTTTACATTGTCAAAATGCATAGTGAAAAGTAAGTTTTAACTGCTTTTCATTCTTTTTTCTCTTTAAGAACGCTGTTAAATTAAACGGTTTAATTGTTACTTGACAAAAATACTCTGCCGATCGATGTTCCATATATCTCCATTCTGAACAGTTCTGTGATTACAATTATCAGTAATTTTCAAACCAGTCTAAGTCTATGCCTAATCCATGCTTGATGTTCTTTTAAACCGTATCACTTCTTTAATATATAACACTGAGGAATTTCAAAAATATGCGTAATGTAAAATATTTCAGACATGAAAATTTTGTTGCTAACAGTAGCTTGCTAATTGATAAGAACAGCTTGACACTTGTTGCCGAACCAGCAACAGCGAAACATACTACTACGATACTAAATGTAGTAACTAAACTGCTTGCTATCGATGATTTATTGTGGACAGATACGAGGTGAATGTTTTTTAGTTTTTTAGAAAATTTAGCGATTTATTCTAGCTATTCTTACAAGGATTTTATTTTCATTATTATCAGATACTTCACAAGCTTATGTCCCTCACTGAATCTTTTAGAAGGTGCTAAATCGTCAGACCTTTTTTTTTTCGTTTACTGACTTATTGAGCATAATTTTCTTAAGCTTCCAAAAAATTTGCTTAAAATTGTGCTCTTTTATTTAGAAATTTGCTTGTTGATTGGATTCATGGCTTGGTTTTCTCGCTAACACCTGATGTTCTGCAACACATACTTGATAAACCAGAAATAATCGAAATGAGAACAGCATTGCTGGATTCATTTGTGAGACACTCACTTCCAAAAAAAACACCGCTGGATAAAATTTTATGTAATTCAGAGGTTTTTGTTGTCCATGGATGTACAGGTATTAATTTTGCTCTTCGTATTACACTATCAATCTCTTTATAATAATTTTACGCTTGCTTGTGATTGCAATCTCTTGTAACATTATTCGAATAAAGAAAGTGATAATTTAAATTTTATTGATTTTTAGAATCTATCATATGAAAACTTTTCACAAAAAATGATGCTTTTTCTTGGTAGATTAGAAGCAAGACAAAGGTGTGATAACACATTTTTATAGTTAACCGACTAGTATAAATTTTAGCTGGTCAAAATTATTACCACTTTAAATACGTACTGAATTAATCAAAGAAAAAAGTTTCAATCTGTTTTATAAGCATCTCTAAGGGTGTTAAGGTGCGGCTATGTCCAATTGCAACACCGTAGGAAGATGCATTTTGATAAATGATTATCCACTTTACTAAAGATATGTGAAGCTGATTAAACTTTTTAGTCCAAATGTTTGAATTTTAGCAGCAACAAGTCATCGAGTTAGGCATTTTACTTTACTTCGGCGACTAGCCGTTTTCAATTTGGTCAAGAACGGAAAACCTGAAATGACAATGAAGTTTGTTAAACATGTTTTTGATCAGTGTCATTCGGGGTGTCAAAATAAAATAACTGGTATTTGGCAAGCTACTCCTCCAGTAATCTTCATTAGGTAAGTTTGTGTTAATTGTATTTGTTGTCTTTTGCTTTTATAGATTATATCAATTTTTTTATAACGTTATATAGAGATTAAAATATCTATAATTTTGATAGGTTCAGGAAATAACGTGATGATTCTAATACTTGTCTTTTTTTCTAGTTTCCATCAGTAGATTTTGTTTTAAAGCAGATCGCTTGTCTTAGTAAGAAATAATGTGATTTTTGAAGTAAAAAGTTGAGAATTCACTTTCCATTATTTAAGTTAAAAAATTTAATAATTTGCTTTGTAGTTAATAGTGCGAATGTGACACTCTGTTACTTCATTTTCTGGGCATTTGAATGATAAACAGTATTGTTAATGGCAGCTAGCATCAAAAATTTCGCAGTAATTGGGTCCTGAAAAAGAAAAAGAGGGAAAGCTCAAAATGATGTTTAAAAATTCATCAGTACTAAGCACTACAAAGCATAATTTTTTTGGAAATATTTTGGAAAGAAATAATTTCAGTAATGGGTTGACTGAATATGCACAAGATTTGATGGAATTTGGCCAGCAGAAAATACCCGAAAGTTTGTTCACGCCAGAACATTTCAAGATTGTTGCTGACTTCTTGCTCAATTCAGTTCTTCCAACATATTGCTTTAACAGGTTTGTCTCTAAAACTCATTTTTCAAAAATCTTTGTTTACTTTTAATCATTCGTCAAATTGTATGTTTTTTTTTTGCACCACCATTGCTTGCTGTAATTACTGATTCAGTAATTATAACAAGCAGTGATGGTGTATTTCCATGCTGATCATTCTTTGTTACCTATCTTCCCACCATGTCTTTTCTGTAATATCCGCTAATCGGCTAACTACAAAGTAATTAGTTCTTTTCGCTGGAACTGGGAGATGTAAAATCTGTAATTTGGGAAAGGGAAAAGTGAAGAAATGGTAATATGATTCCTTGCTCACCAACTACTTATCAGACACGCTTCTAATGTGAAAAAGAAATTTATTTTTTTAATTTATTCTATCCGATCGTTGAAGTGCTAAAATCTTAGCGGGTGGAATTTGGTTTTAATCGTCTTTATTTTTCAAATTACCATGTTGTGTCCGTACCGGGTTTTGTGGAAAAGATTGTTTCATTTCATATTTGCTCAAACAATCAAGATAAAAAAAATGAAATTTGGAATAAACAAGGGAAATAAAGTATTTTTAACATTTAGCGTTGACGATGGAAATTGGATATTAGATACAGCAGCAACGATTTATGCGGATGCTATGGGTGATATCAGTACAAATAATGACTGTATATCCAAATGGAGATGGATTATTGCACAAATGGCTCAATTTTGTGTAAATAATCGCTTGAAAACACCACTTGGCAAACCGTTGAGTACTTTCCTCGCTTTTGAAAGTAATGTTTACTTGTTTTCTTGAATTTTATTAAATATTAATTAGGATAATGTTTATATGCATTATTCTATCCATTGCTATTTGCCTAAAGCTTATTAACTGTACAGTTGTTGTCACAGTTATTGCCTTTCTACTCCTTGCTGATCTGAATTTCTATTCAGTTCATTTAACTTGCTTATTCATAAGTTGAATTTCCATCTTCAAAGATTTTCTTTATTTTATTTTATATTCTATCATTTCTTTAGTTATTCACTCCCTCTAGCTGTTTAAACTATTTATCTTTCTGTTTTATTTTTCATTATTTTGTTATTTTGAAATTTAAAAAAAACCGTATCATATTTGTACTTCGCGGAATGCGACTGTGATGATAAAATGTGATCTGCAAAAATTTTTCTACATATTGTGTAGGTGTAGAGATAGGCATACAGTTTTGTGCAAAAAGATTACTTTTCCCAAATTATTTGCATGTGCTATCTGTATCATCAAAATTCTTCCTTAAGGATAAATTAGTCACATATTTATTCTGTTTTAGTAATTTATCATGCTACTTATCTGTTTTATGCATCATTACCTTATTCTGCAATTGTCAAATCTCTTTTTTCTGATTTTTTTCTAATTTAAGTTTTATTCCAAACACTTATCGTTAATTTAGACGAAATACGACGGCTAGCAAGCAATGCTCTTTCACGAAAACCACTGCCTGTGGGTAAAGTCGTTAAAGATGAAATAGTACAGAAAACAGTTACAATGAGCGGAAGAGGTGTTGTTGAGGATGAAGACGAAGCAGAGATGGAACTAGAACGTGAAACACGTCAACTAACAACCTCGGAGCAGTGGTGGCGTGTTCGTGCCTTGTTAGACATGATTGAAATGTTGGATAAACTGATGGCTTATGTATGTCACGGCGCAATATTCCAGTTGTCTACGGTTTCACAGGTTAACAATTAATTTAGTATTAAAGATAGTGTTGATGCAGAAGAACACGTCAGAGTTTTGAAATTGGAATTTTTCTTAAAGATTATTGGTATTTATTTCAAATAAATCCTCAGTGGGCTTGTTCTAGAATAATCGATCGCCATATGATTATATTGTAGCAACTCATTATTTTGAACAATGAAGTAGAATTTTGTCAATTTTAGTTATCGCAGCAATTTCTTACGACAAATCAAGCCAGTTGTGCGAATTGGCTTTCACGTTTATGTCTGCCAATGATGGCTGTTGCATATACAAGCAATAACTTTGCCCAAGTAATACGTTTAGGAGGTTGTTCGTTGAGAGATATCGAAAAACGGGTTGAAGAGAAAGAGAGTAGGGATAACATTGATGAAAAAGGTCTGTTTTTGAATTTTCTGGCAAATCAAGTTTCTGATATTTATTCTGTGATATTGTTAGCAGTAAATGTTTATATTGGTGGACACAATTAATGTATGCGTAGGAATTAATGCATGCCCTAGGAGCATGCATAAATAATGTTGAAAGGTTCACATTCTCCAGTCAACTTACGACCAATAATTAAATGAATTAGTATTGCAGGGGAAATAGATTCCGTTACTCATACATGTATTATGTGGATGGTAAAAGCACTGATCGATCTGGGTCGTCCACAAGCAATATTGGGTTTGTATGCGTGGGTAAAGAAGATTTATGGCAAGCAGTATGTCTGGATAAAATGCGCAGCTCAAATGGCTGCTGGAAGGTAAATTCTGGCTGTACTAAAGCAATAAATTGTTTTCATACATCAGAAATATTTTCAAATATCTTCTTTTTTGCTTTGAATTCTTTTATTAGAATTAATTTTAGAATCGAGTCTGCCTTGAATGGTTTGCAGGAATGTCTGCGTAATGGAAATTTATCTGAAAATATACAGAAAACTATACGACAGCTAGTAAATTTTTTCAATTTTTATCGTCCTTATGCGTTTTTTATTTCGATTTTTCAAAATGTTTGTTTTATCGGTCAATTTGGATTTAAGCTTTTTTGATTTTTAAGATCATCTTCGGCTTGGAAGCGCTTCGAAATTCGGAAGAAATTGATATATTTTGGCGGGCGCTGTATGGTGTTCTGGATCCCAAATCAGATGAAATACCGGATGGTTTTGAAGAAATTGCATGGAAGAGGTAGTTCTGTTAACAGATGAGCTTTGATTTGAATTTGAATTTAATTTTCAATTTTTAATGTGAGTCGCTTAAATTAAACATAATTCAAGATCGTGAGTGTCAGTATTCATTTAGAAGAACAATCATGACAGATAAAAAGTATTAGCTACCTATTGCTATTACATTTTAATCTGAACTATAAAAAGGGCATTATCACTATAATCATGACAATGAATTTGCTGGACAACTATCTCGATCTGTTAAAGAAGACTTCACCTATTTTAAGATACATCGGAGTAAAAAACACAATTTAATGAATCTCTAAATCAAGGTGTCATCATGAAGGCGCTTATTTTTTTCATAGTATAATTTGCTATAGTGTTTGTTTTGAGTTCAGTAATATCGAGAATTTAAAAAAAAATCAAAATCATCCTCCCGATTTGTGATTTTATGATTTTATGATTTTTTCAGGATGAAATCACTGACAACATTCGACAATTATTTAAAGAATGAATCATTTTTGTCAATCCCTTGGGATATCCGAAATAGTTTCATTCATACGGAGTTGAAATTGATGGACATAGTTCATGACCGATTCCGAGATTCTAAAGATAACAAGTATGCTTTATAATTTCTCATTCAAGAGCTGAAAGTGTTCCAATCTCAATCAACTATTCGTAGCCAATAAGTATGCTTTTATAGGATTGATGTCGTTGATTTGACGCGACAGTTGAGTGAGGATTCTAGGATTTTGATGCTAGCGGATACTAGTTTGCAGACCTTTACACGTGCGAGCGCATTGCATTTACTGGCCACTGCTGTAAAAGATAGTCGGAAACCTTATCATAAGCAATCAGTAGGTCTTGATATTTTTGAAGTGTAGGTTTGAATTGAATGGTAAGTTTTTGTATTCTACAATCAAATAAAGATGCGTTCATTAATATTGTGTAAACTTCTGATCAATTAAAATTTGAGCTGCTATTGCACATTTCTATTTTCTATTTCAAAGATAATCAAACCAAGATAGAATATCTCGAAATCAATTAAAAGTTTTTCGAATTTTCGAGGTATTAAAATTTTAGGTTACCGCCAATGTGGTTGATCCATCATTCCTTTTCGATTGGAAGAATGGCCCACCAATACAGCGCCTTATGATCGGTCAACAGTTGAGCAGCTGGTTACAGAATACACAAACCAGAGAAAGTGGTGGATGTTCATCATTGCGAGTAATTTCCAATGAAGCAGCTTATCACCTCGAAATGGCACGATTAGCTCGGAAAACGAAAAATTATCGATTGGCGGAAAAACATATAAAAATACATTATAATAAACGTCTTCCAACACTTGATAGTTTTCAACTGAGTATTTTACGTGTATGCCTTATTTTTTTAATAATTCCTTTGATGAATAGAACTGTCAAAAAATCAGATTTCAACGCATCACGATCTGCAAAATAGTGAATTTTCTAAATCAACTTGATATTATCATTTTTTATTAGAGTAATTAATAAATTGATTATACCCATATAGGGAATGCAAGGAAATTGGATTAATGGAGCGGCTGATAAGGAAAACAACCTGACAAATAATTTAGTTGTGCAGCTGCCTATGCAACAGCGATTATACAATTTTGAAAATCTTATGTCCAGCTATGGTTTTTCGAAAACGGTAAGTACTATGTTTGGTTAATATATTTTTAAAAAACATCATATTTTTGTGAGTGTAAAGAACATACAGTCTTAGGGAATATGACTTACGCGCTTGATATAATTCAATAATCTGCTTAGCAGAATTATGAGAAAACTTAGATGTGGGCAATATCAGAAACGGCGGATACCGATTGTGCTCGCACTTTTTTACAAGGAAAAGCGTTCTCTTTGTTGATGAGTGCTGTGGCTGATGAAATTGATCGATTGATTTATAAGAGTAATTTGATGTTCAATGGTACACCAACTGTAGCTCCAGATGCTCTCATTACTGTTCTGACACAGCAACTTAACCACACTACCATTGAAGTAATTTTCTTTTCTTAATTACTTTGATCTTATTTATTTGAATTATTGTTGTGATAGTTTTGCAACATAGCTAATAAAAATCAGAAGTATATGAAATCCATTGATTTCTACTCACTAAAGATCATTTACGTTTTCATAGATATTGAGCTATTCACTCTATCATAAACAACCATAATGGTGGTGAATTATATAAGAACCACGTAGAATTTTGCAAATTGTTTACTGTTATGTTAATTAGGATTACTTATATCATTTAATTCTTTGTTATTTGCAGTGCGGACTAGAATGTTGTATTCCATCAGTTTTTTTGTGCTTTTGACTGTTACATAAGTGGCATTACGAGAAATAGTATTATGCTTCAGGATTCAGCAGTATTATCAATGGGACCGAATATTGGTGTGAGTAATCAGCAGCAGCTAGAGCAAAGTAAGATTTTAGCAAAAGCAATCGTTCAGCTTGCGCGTTGGTTACAGATGGAATCCAGTTTATTGCCAGTAGCTATGGGCCATTCGATGCGTATCGCTTTTCATATATTTGGAGTTGAACAGTCCCAACTACCGCTGCTTGGTGCTTCTGGTATCATTTAAATTCAGTTTCAACAAGATAATTCAAAGTCATATTTACTTGATTCACATATTAATTGGTTTAAATAATTGAAACCATGGGAATAAGCTATCATAACCTTTTTATTCAGGTATCATCGACTCACTTGCTGGTGCTCTCTTAAGTACTTCCTGTAAATTATCACCACATTTGGCAAAAGCTCATCTGGAACTGGGTAACTGGGCATTTAAAAGGGTTACCAATGCTGACAACGAAATTAAGTTATCTTTCATCAGTGAAGAATGTGATACAGTGAAATGGCAAATCAAGGTACTTCCATTCTTCTCTAAAAGTTAGCAGGGAATGTTGCGACTTTGTTATTGTAATAATGTGTATTCTTGAGATTTGAAAACTATTTTTTCTCCTGTTCTGATTAATCGATACCATTATTTTTTTGAACTGTAAGTATTTTGGGCATATCAGTTATATAGCACAAGTTGGAGAGCAATTAGTTTTAAGTTCCTTAATTTTGATTTTGCTGAATCCATGTGTTGGATGTTTTGATAGTTGTTATGAAGCTTCAATAAAATTACTTTTCAGAACGCGTGCACATCAGTGGAAGATTCGGTAATAGAAAACCTGTTACAGACAGTGCAGAAGTCTACCAGTTTAACTTCAATTTTATCAGACTGCAAGGCTATTGCTGGAAATGCAGTTAGTGAACAGACATGCGATATGTTAGTGTAACTCATTCTATGAATGTTTTATGTTTTGTCACTATTTTATTAATTGTTATTTTACAGTAAGGCTATCCGAACATGTTTTTCAATAATCACTGAAAGATTTTCTTAAAATTAAGATTGGAGGAATAGTTAGACTTTAATTCATGGTCAAAATAATTTTAACAATCAAAAGTTTAAGCTTTGCACAAATTAATGTTAAAAATGGACATTAATTTCAGGCTGTTTGGTCCTAGAAGTATCATTCAGGAAGTTTGGAGAGGAGCAAATTCACGTCATTTGGCTTTTTGTACCTGTGCTGTACATTCCTATTTCGCTTATATTGCTGTAAGTGGGCGTGAAACAAAAGAGGTTGGTATGTATGAAATTTAAGCAAGTAGATGAGTTTCTTGTAATGCATTAAATTTGTTTTCTCCCTTTACACTATAGGGAACAATTGGAGTAGTGATGGCGACGTTACGTATTTTACAATTACTGGTAAAACAATACGACGCTTTGCATCACTTGATTCTCAATGAAATGCTTCAGATAAATGAATTATCGTGGAAAGGTTGTTATATATAAATATTTTTTTTGTTGAGATGTTATCTCTTGTTAAATCCTGATATTTTAAGCTAAATTCATTTTAATAACCTCCAATCATTTGAAAATAATGCCAATCGAATGGAACGAATTCAAATTACCTTTTTGCATTTTGCGTTTGGGAAATGTTTTCTTTCTCAGGCACTGCTTCATTTCATTCGTGAGAAAACAATAATTTTACTAATTTATTTCCTTTAGAAACATGGCAGTTATTTCTTTTAAAATATGCGCTTTTTTTAAATACTCAAATAGCTCGTCTTTTTAGATATTCTTCCACAGTTGTTTGCGCGGCTAAATCATCCAGTGCGTGCAGTGCGTGACACGCTTTGCACTATATTGGAAAGAATTGCAGCTACATCACCGCACGCACTTTGCTATCCGGCAATAGTTGGTGCCACTCAACCTATTGTTATTCACAACGAATATGTTGATAATGGTGAAGTAGAGAAAAATGATTTCGTTGATGTTATTGATGAAGAGAAGAAGAAACGTGCTGACCAGGTTTGTTTTGAACTAGTATTGGCATTGTTGTATTCAATCATAAATTATGATCACTAAATGATTAGCGGATATTGAAGAGCATGAATAAAAGTTGATTTTAGTAATAAATTAATAATGTTAGGCTCTATAAAATGCAAAATCTTTTTCAGTATTCCTATTTTACATTAATAAAATAATGGGTTATTCTAGTGCTGTTGTTTAAATTTTCTATGTTTCGGTTTCTGTTAAATTAAGGAAAACTGGTACAATACAATATTCTTCAGGATCGATCACTTATGTTTGAATGTTGTCAGCGAATTGTAACACAAATGCAGGCATTGTTCCCTGAACTTGTCAAGGATGTTACTGAATTCGTTAAGGTAATATTTAAGGATTTTTTATAGTTGTGTAGGAAATTAGATTGCCATAGTAAATTAGATTAATCCACGGTTGGATTATAGGAACTTCAAAGGATTGATATGTTGCATGAGGAGCGCTGGACTTTTGTTTTGACAAATTTGGATCTCGAAATGAATCGCCGAATCTTACAAATTGAGACAGAAATGATGAAAACTTTGATGAATACACATTTAAATGATGATGAAAAGAAAGAGATTATTCACGAGAAAACAGTTATATTTACGTCTTTGGTAATATATTCGTTTTACTTGATTCCAAATTAAATATTTAGAACAAATAAAAAATTGAAACTGGTATTTCAGTTAAGAGGCTCTTGCAATGCGGTAAAGACCTCTTTGTAAAAATTTATTGACTGGGAACAATAAAAAAATGGAAAATGTGGAACTGATTCAACTGATTCACAGAAGTTGAAGCAAAAATTTTATCTTTGTGCGCTTTCTATTTTTAATGTGATCCTTTGCTAAATGTTCTCTCATTCAAAAGAATTTTTTCCCAGGTGTATCGTATTGTCGAGGACTTATATGAAAAAACATGCACCAGCACACCTGTGACAGTAAATGAAAAGCAGTTTCAAGATACCTATCTTGCGACTATTGAAGAAGCCATGAAAACTCTTCGGATGAAAAGATCAGAACCACGCCAGGCTTGGGCTTCATTTAAACTTGTAATTTCTCATTTTTTTATGACTTTTAACAAGTGATTTTAATGAAACAGTTTGTAAAAGTAATCGGTTCTCAGAATTCATGGAGTTAAGTAACTGTTTTGTCATGGTTTGTAAGTGATTTTTTTCACAATTATCTAAAGTTGAACCATGTTGTTTTATGCGTCTTCTCATGTAACTAAGTGTGACCTTTTTTAAAGCATCAGATTCGGTGGCTTTTAGAAGAGAGAAAGGAAGAATACTAAAGAAACTTATGTTTTTGGCCTTCTTCTTACATGATTTATTTTATTAAATTTGTATGTTCAAGTAATATTTATTTAGATGGTTTTTAACATGCATGTAATTTGCAGTTGTTGACGCAATTTAACCAGCGGGCAAACAGGCGGTCATTCGTTTGTCTTCAAATGGCTGATATTGCGCCTCGTCTTACTGCATTAAATAAAACACATGTTAGTTACATTTTTTTAGAGTCTCTAATTTGCTTTTTTTAAAAATTAATTCTAATTTAATTCAATTTCACTTCTCCCAATTAAGATCATCCTAAAGATATGTAGAGTAGGAAGAGAGGAACCATATTCAAAAAGCTGTATGACATCTTATAGAATCGGTGTTTGATTAGTATGAAAAAGTTATTTACATTTTAATAGTGAGTATTATTACTCATTTTGACATTTTTTTATCAGATGACTTCGCTATGATTTTCTACATTATCTATAGTTACAGGTACCGCTTCCTGGGCAAGAACATAAAAATTTTTCCGATGTTGTGACGCTGGAACGAATTAGCAAGCAGACGGTAATATTACCAACTAAAACGCGACCGAGAAAAGTTATATTTCATGGATCAGATGGAAAAGAGTGGGTTTTTGCATTTTTGCTTATTTCTTAAAATATAAATATTTTTAGTGGGCAGTTACAATCAATACGTATATAAAGCAAATGAAGGTTATTTACAAATCACGTGGAATTTTTTCCCAAAAGTTTGCAGGCAACTAATGAACAGTATTTTTGCTGCTTTGCATGATTATTCCATCAACTTTTTGGCTCAGTTCTTTTGAGTAATGAAAATGAGTAACGGCGGGTAGTGAATTTTTCGAAAATTCGTAATTAAAAACTAGAACTTCTTTAATACATTTTCCGGAATTTCTTATTTTGAAAATGGTCTCTTTAAAAAAAAAGAGTTTGCATTGCAGTTATCCTTTCCTCTTCAAAGGACAAGAAGATTTGCACTTGGACGAACGCATCATGCAGTTATTGCGTATTTGTAATTTGATGCTTTTAACAAAGGAAACTGATTGGCCGTCTTATGTAGCCGAGAATTATTCGGTTATTCCCCTTGGCTCTCGTTCAGGCCTTATTGAATGGGTTGAGGGAGCGACACCTATCTTTCAAGTTTACCGGAAATGGCAACTTCGTCAAGCAGCTGAAAATACCTCAAACCAGAAAATTAATGAAGTTGAAAGACCGAGTGCATTATTTTTCAAGAAACTCAGGGCAGCTTTCCAATCTAACGTAAATTTATGATGTTTTCTTATAAATTTTTCAAAACCATCCCATCAAGATATTTTTGATTTCAATGCCCTTCTTTCGATTACTCTACTTTCTTTAAAAATCAGTTCTTTAAAATTTGTGCACTTCACGGCTACGTGTTAGGTTTATACGAGTTTTTTATTCAAATGAATTAAATCCTTTGCTTAGAGCTTCTGGAATTTCTTTATCATTTTTATTTTTTAGGCTGCGCTCACACTAATAGTAATTGTTGCCTTTTATTATGATACAATACTATTGCCTTAAAATTCCAGAAAATCCCAAAAGAATCTATCACTGATCGCCAAAAATGGCCATTTCTTATATTAAAAGGTGTTGTTGAAGATTTAATCGAAGAAACTCCTCGAGATCTTCTGTCGCGGTACTATTTTATTTTTTTTCAGTTGAAAATTTATTTATGGCAATATTTTGATTTGCAAAACGATCAATAACTTTTTTTTAGATTTCGAACATATTTCAAGATACATACTAGCTTCAAGTCAATAAAACAAGTAGTGATGCAAACTTTGGTAAATAAACATTAGATATGGTTAACAAATTGGATATAAAATATTTATTTACTCATTTTAAGGGAGTTGTGGCTTCGAGCTGGTAGCTCAGATACGTGGTTCCGAGTCACCGAGAGATTTGCTCGATCAACAGCAGTTATGTCAATAGTAGGCAGCATACTGGGTCTGGGTGATCGCCATTTAGACAACGTTTTGGTTAATTTTGAATTTGGACATGTGGTGCATATTGATTACAATGTCTGCTTTGACAAAGTATGTGTTTTTTTTATTACTAGAAATAGTTTTGTACGATATTATTTCACTCTTATATTGATTTATGTTTTTTTTTACATGCATTGACAAGGACACTTAATTAAGGAACCAATATCATATATTTTGTCCACAAAGACCAACTCAGTTGATGAAAATTAAGGGGTTTTTTAGGGACGGAATTTGCGCGTACCAGAAATGGTACCATTCCGTTTGACTGGAAATATTGTTCGAGCGCTTGGCCCTACCGATGTTGAAGTAAGTTTCTAAATTCAGTTTTATAGAAATTTTTTTACCATTATCGCAGATGTCTTAATTTAAAAGTAAGCTCACACCTTGTCAATTAATTTCAAATCTCACTAGAAATAGCTTTGTTTTAAGGGGACTTTTCGGCTCTCTTCTGAAAATGTGTTAAAAAAACTCCGCGCTGGGAAAGAAATATTACTGACGATATTGGATGCATTTGTTTACGATCCATTAGTTGATTGGGCTGCTGCACAAGATGATCTCGGTTCCAGGTCAATGATTGGTATTGCGACAATCATTGCTGTTTATGGTTCGAAGTTTTATATATTCATGATGAGTGTTTATTATATCTCTTTTTGTTATTAAATAAAAAGCTTTACCAGGTTTATAATATATTTTGTAATGATTAATATTTCCTATGCTGGTAACACTTAGTTATTACTGATTATTGAGCGTTTCTTTAGGAGTAGTAGACAGACATTCAGATATTTTGCATGCTATGGCTTTCTCATTGTTTGCTCTTCGTATCAAAGAATTCTCTGCTGCGTGGCTTGATAACAAGTTGGTTAAAGACTTTTTATATTATTTATTTATATCTATCAGTTCTTGAAGTTTTGACATTAAATTTTGATTTATTCGATATTCAGTATTGATTAGTTGATTATTCGGCTGAATCAATTATAGAAATTTTCCCTTGCAGAGATCATCTTAAACGTATGCTAGTGTCCGTTGTCAGAATACTAGGGAAATTGCACGAAAATGTTCAAAAAGATATGGAAAGTCGATCTCAGAATTGGGAAGAGGAGGCAAATAAACTGGAAATGGAAAAGCTGTCTATTGAACGTGATTTAAAAAACGCAGTTACGGAACATCATTCTATGATGCATGATATACGTCCTCTGCTTCGTTCCTTCGCTCATGCAAGTTTTTGTTTAATAATTTCTATGTTTATGTCAAGTCTGAATTATTGAATGGAATGACTGATGATTTAGATATTGCTCTGTTTAGAAATTTTGAGATTGAAAAAATTTTGGCTTGATCATGAAAAAGGAGTAGATTACAGAAACAGTATGGCGGATATGTCTTACAAAGAAATTCACTAGTTTATTTCTTAAGTTTGTCAGAGAAAGCTTAATGAATTTAATGAATCAGAAGTGTTTAAATGGAACGGTTTCTATTGAATTGTATTTCTATATTTCTAATTTGGTCATTACAGTTATAATTGTATATTCCTTAGTTTGGCCGTTAGTTTGATAGAATTTTACAGTTTGAGATGCTTGTTTCAGTTATTCTTGTACACTTCTGTCAGTCAAACGAACATCAAAAGATATAGTATCCATCGATTTTACACGATTTTTGCACAGTGTGAAATTTTAAAAGTTTCAGAAAAATGAATCTTTCGCTATATACTTGCAACGATATAAAGAATTATTCATTGAGCCACTGATCAAAGGACTCAAATTATTGGATGATGCATACAGTAGTGCAAATATATGCATCGATCTTTTCCGGACTGTTATTGATAACATTCCAAGGTTCGTTATTGTTTTTCATGAAGAAAGCTCACAATCGACAGATATTTTTTTGATTTAATTACTTAAGACCAAAAAAGATTCTAAGCTTTTACAAGCGGTTCATGCCGCATTGCATCTCACTTGAATTACATTTCAGCATTTACGACAATTTGTTATTGTTGCAAAAAGTGAAAGAACGAATGGGATTGCCTTTCTGCAGTGGCAGGTCTCCACCGATGGAACGCCGAGAGGGTAGGATTGTCATTTTGTTTGATATAATTTTTTGATATCTATCGAAACTAAATATTTTGAAGGACAGCAACAACAGAATATACACGGTAAGCATGTTTCGAAGAGAGTACGGATGAAGTTAGAAGGAATGATTGTAAATGGCACCAATAAAAACGACAATGCAAAAAGTGATGCAAACATTATAAGCGAACCGTTAACACCATCCGAACAGGTCTGCTAGATTCCTAATTCTGAATTTTATTGGATTTACGTTGAATTTATCCAGCATGTGATAATCGGCATGTAGTTTTTTGGATTTCAGGTTGACTTATTAATTCAACAAGCGACAGATATAAGTAATTTGGCATTGATGTATGAAGGATGGACGGCGTGGGTGTAATGTATTGCTTTTGTCGAGCAAGTTTGTGTTCTGATAAGGTAAGTATTTCGTCTCTGTTATTTTATATATTTTAAATTACAATCTGATTTTAAATCTCTGTTGTTTATTAAGAATTTCTTCATTCTTCCAAATAAGAAATAATCGTTGGAAAAAACTAATACTGTAATTACTACTTTCTATTATTTTTAAAGAGGAGTTTTTTTTTTAATATGAAAGCATTGTTTATTTTTGATAAATTCCTTCGTAAATGATATTGACACAGTTGAGGGAGATATCTTTTGATGACGGGCTGACATAAAATGAATGGGTGGAGTTTTTGATAGAGTTGCTTATGGTTGCTTGACGACTCATTTGGATATGCATTGATTATAGCAATCCATTTTGAAAAATAGAAGTCTATATCAGGCAGTTATTAATTATATGTTAATATGTTGTTTAGATCTTTCTCTATTATAGGAATAATTTCCTTGTTTTTGTGGTCGGCTTTGCCCCTACAAACAAAGAGGATGTTTCCATCATATAACATCTCTCAAAATCAAAACATCCGGAAGTCAGTTAAATGCTTTCAAGACGAGTTCGCCAATACATAAAATCTTGGTTATATATACTATAATGCTACTTAACAACACCGGCATGTTGTTAATGCTTCTTCATCTATCGATGCATGGATGATGGACTTTTATGCGAACTCGTAAAATGGTGGGTAGCGCACGATGTTTATACGGACGTATATGGGGACATGTTTTGTTGCGATTCGGTTCGTTGGGACCATTTTATATTCCTTCTTCATGGTTTTTCATGGAGCTACAAAGATTCAAGCAACTTCAACAAAAAATTTCTATGTTTGTTATCAGTTGTTTTGGACTCTGCTTGACTCTCGTCATTAATTAGAAAGTCTTTTTGTCTGATGTGAATCTGACATGAAGTTTTTATGACTTAATATGTTGTAAATTCTTGAATTCATCGCATAAATTATTTTCAATACTTCAGCATTAGAAATTATATAAATTGTTTGTATAGAGCAAAAATTTCTGTTATGAGAATTCAAATTCTAACGAGCAATTGGCTGTTTATCATTGTGTAATAGCGAGCACTTCTTTATTCAATTCGAGTAATTGACTAGGCTACTGGAAGATTTATATTTGCGTTCCAGGAAATTGTTTAACTGATACCAATCCTACAAGATTAGGACTTCGAGATACTGATGTAGTATTTTGTGTCAACAATTTCGTCAGTTTTAAAATAAAACCTGCAGTTTTTAATCTTAAATCTGTGGTATTATCTGTTTGGTAATTCTCTCTTTGAAGCAACTATTTTTCCCGTAATCCATGTTCGTATTCAACTATCACTATCTTATTTCGAAATCCTATCATTTTGAAATGTTAGAGAACAAGCTCATGTGTTTATAATATAATTTTATCGAAAAAGATTGTTCTCTGTTCATTCCCAGTTATCAGTTCTTAGCTTTTGTATATTTGAATATAAAGATTAAAATGAAGTTTTTTTTGGGGCATGAGCACTTACATATCAGCAAAATCTTTCGGTTTCATTTCTATTACGGTGGTATTTGTCATGATTTGTTATAGCTATCTCTCCGTTTAGTATCCTTCAGTCCGTTCAGAATTTATGAAAGCTCTAATTATCAAATGATTTTCTAGTTGGATTTTAGAGTCCTATCGTATGTGAGCCATCCTGGTTTAATTTATTGGATGGAGCTACCACGGCCAGCATTATTTCATTATTAAAGAAAAATATGAGGCCACAATTGCGAGACCAGTAGCAAGAATTACACAAAAAATCAATTATTCGTTACATGCAGCAAAGTTTGCGTGCCTATAAAAAGAATTGCAGTAAACTGCAATATTGCTGCAAATAGGTGAGGGGTGCAGTGCTCTTCAATTCTGCCACTATCTTCCTTTCGTTCCAAAGCGAAAGCGAAAAGGCTTCAGGGATTAATTAGTGCATCGGTTATTTTATTACCATCTGCGGAAGGTTGAATTTGAAATTTCCCGAGAGAGTTTAATATGTCAACTACTTGGATTGAATCAGCTTACTAAAAATTAAAACGGTGGATGACACTATGGGAAAGAATTTTTTTTTGCTTATGAAAATATGGAGAAAAGCCAATCAGTTTGTTGTAAAGAAATTTATGGAAAATTGCAAATTAATTTTAATCGAAGCTAAAAAAAAGCGAAGCATTTAAGATATAAAACGAATCTTATGTGCTTCTTAATATTTCGCTTCATGATTTCCGCAATATTTAGGATTGCAGACCAGTTAATGATAGAACTGTAAAAGTTCTTTGAAAAAGCAATAAATTTTGATATGTTAAGATGAAAAAAGTCTAATAACCTGTTTACAGATAGAGATTTTAACAATTTAGTTTGCAGCATGCTTTAAAATAAAAATTACTATAATGTACACTGCGAATTCTTGTATTTCACATTACCTTTTGGATTATATTTGTGAAATAAATCTCAATTTAACAAATTAAATCAAAAATCTCGATACATTTGACGTGAATGAAATGTCATTTTTATCAAAATTAGTAAAACGGCAGATAATTCAGGTTCAGAATTAAGGCCTTGTAAATATAAAAACGATAAAGATTGTATCCGATGTTGTATTCGCTTCTTCAATCTAACTTTTAAGTGATGAAAGGAAAAGGAAGAAATGATATAAACATCTTATGTATTTTTAATGAAGAATAATAATATATGGTAGATAATAATGGGTTGGCTGTCCTATACTCTTTATTTCCTATTCGATTTTGTTCGAAATATGCTTTAATATTTATGCTCCTTTTTCAGCAAAAATGGCTTTAGGCAGGCTTCAGGTCTTTCAGTGGCTTATATATGAGGGGCCTTATATATTACGAATGAGCTAATGGATGAAGCATTATTATATGCATGTGCCATGAAGGATCCCACCCATTCCAAAATCATTCTTCCTCAAAATTCTCGTCTGTGCTTCATTTCAGTTTTGAAATTGTCTCGGCCTATGCCTGTGTGCGTTTCCTTCTCTGTTCATATGTGCCTTTACCTCTTTACTTAAAAAAATGTTATCACCAATATCACTAATATTGTTATCACTGTGCGTTGTCGTCAATTTGTCATTGCCATTGGTAAGTACCTTATTAAAAATATTTTCACATAAGCTAAAAAATTTTAACCTGAATTGAATATGAATTGAAAGCTTGTTAAATTAGAAAATATGAAAAGAATGAAACATATTTTGAGATAATGTTACTTAGAAGTTTACTTCTTTTAAGGTTGACGAAACCTTCGAAATAATTAGTACTTCGAGATTTTACTATGTAAACCGCAATGCCTGCTAATTTTCAAGAATAATTTTATTGATTATTTATTTTAGAGAAATTAATAAATTTTATTACTTGTCATAATCCACTGCGAAATAGATTAGAAATTACTCTTCTGATTTTAATTCTCAATATACAGAAGAGCATTTCGAAGCTCTGCAAAAAATGAAGCTAAACCCATATGACAGCTTCTATTGATCTGCAATAAATTTTCTTCGAGAAATTGCTTCTGCCAATTGCTAAAAGTTGCCCGAAGTTGATTAATGAAATGTTTGTATAACATAAAAAGAGAACTTTAATACCTCCACAACTTCTTTCTTCTTCCAAAACACTCACTGAGTATTAGTTTATTCATTTGCACATGGCTCAAGTTTAGATTTTTTACAGTTACTTTTTGGTTCAGAATGGACGAAGTTATCGATTACAAAAAAAGATATATTCGCGAAATGAATTAAAGAAAATATGAAAAGAATGAAACATATTTTTCAAAAAAATTAATTAACGAAAAAAAAATTAACAAGTAGCAGTTGAGTTAGTTAATTAACTTTTCATCCTTAACCGTTGTTTATATGGAAAAATTACTGTTGATATTCTTTTGCATCAGTAGTGCAATTTTTTGATTGAAAATAAATTATCCTCGAGATTTTTGTTGCTCAGGAAAGATTTTTAGAAGGAAAAATATTTGGAAAGCATAACCGTATTTTCCGATAGAAGAGAGATAAAAGGACAAAAGCGAAACTCAGATTACTTTTTACAAACAGATTTTTAGTTGAAGTTTTTTTTATCGCTTGAAAGTTTAAATTAATCGCCATCTGCTAAAGATAAAAGGAAATTGGATTTTCTCTTTTCCTTCGTTTGCTTTTTTAGCGTTATGAATATATCGTCAAAGAGCAAAAAGTATCACTGAATGTAATTGAGCATAATTGAATTCTGATCTGATAATTTAATGCACCTTTCAGGGCAATAATTATGAATTATCAACAAATAGATACTTACCGCTGCGTTACAGTAAGTTTTTCCACCAATAACTTTTCAAGACTTCATAAATAACTATTTTTTAAAAATTTGATATGCATATCATATGCAAATCAAATTTTTATTTTTTGTAATAACTGGTAAAGAGTTGTAGCAGAATTTTAGCTTTTCGTTAGTATTATTTAGATAAACAATGATTAGTTTTGCTTTCAATAAGCATTACTTCGAAATAGAATTTCTAATATATGAATGGAATTTCTCTTGAAAAAGTTCAACGAAATACAGTCTTATTTTCTGCAAAGTATAACAAAATGAAAACCTGCAAAATGATTATGGTATACTAAATACAGATTTAATCATTTAATCTGACCAACTTTATATTTCTCTCACAAATTTCGCAATCCTCATATTCAAACTAGTAAGAATTCATAATTTGCATTCTGAAATCACTGTGTACCGTTTAATATTATCACAGTCGTTGCTGACGTTGTTTCACTATAATCATCATTTCTAACTTGCTTCACACTGTTTTAGCTGCTGCAAATAGAATTAATGCAAGATTTTGTCATGCAAGAAAAGAGCGATTAATAAACTATTACACTGAACAAAAACTGTATATAAAACCCATTGTAGTTTCGCTTTCATTTTGAATAAAATTAACTATAATTACTTTTGAGTTTTAACTTGACAATCTCACATTTTCTCAAATCTAAAAAATTGAATCATTGTCATACGTGTGTTTTGTAATTGGTTAGCAACTAAAGATCTAATGCTATAAGCAGAAAGACATTTCGTAAATTAATGGAAATATGCCATCATTATAAGGACGTTTACATTTACATATTCTGATTAAAACCAGATGCTATCCATTTCTAGCAAGTCATAAAAAATCCAATTTAGCGTTTAAAATGCATGAAGTGCAGTATGAGAAAAGAAAAAAAGACTTTCCATGCTAAACAAAAAATGCTAACTCAATTTAGTCAATATTAAGGACGAAGGCTTTTGCACTTATGCGAATGTCATCTATATGATTCAACAGCTGAACATTCTGAAAGATTCCTTATTTATGAATTAAAATCCATAATGAATCATTTGCCTTAATGCGACTGAGGGAAAATATTTTAAATTCAAATATTATAAAAAGAAATAAGTCATTCTGTAAAACTTATATTAACCTGAACTTTGTTGTTAAAATTTAAATAAATTTGCATTTATGTATTAAATCTTAGAATTTGATGATAAATGAAATCTTTGAATTTTCATCGGAAAAGGCAATTGTTTCCAGATAACGGTATAAATCAAGAAAAAAAAGACTATCAATTGGTTAAACGAATAAGACTACCAACTGGACGAACGACTGCCCAAATATATAAGAAGCATGAAATTGTTAGTGATGACAATGATGATGTTGATGGTGATGATGCTAACGGAGACGATGAACTGACAGATCAACTCGATGGTTTAAATTTTACATAAGACTTATCAAAAAAAAAAGAAGAGAATAAACTATGTTTGAAATACCTAAGTAGTCATGTACATAACTCGAATAACCATTACACATAATTATATATGCAGCGTGTATTTACGCAGTAACTATAATTAATAAAGTATGCAATCTTTTGGTTTTTATCCGTGTTTTTTTTTTTTTCAAATTATCACTTGTATTCCAATTGATCGTTATTTATCGCAACAAAATCTAGCATAGGGGTAAGTTGAAACTTTGAGATTTCCACTGTACCGGTAAAAATAATATGACCCGGACAATTGGCATTTTTTTAAATCACAATCGCTAGTGTCTTTTTATGAAATATTCTTGATTTCATTAATATTCTTTGCCACTTTGTTAATTTAAAGATTATTTTCGTGTTGAAAGCTTACTTATGCAAATGAAAAGGAATACAAAAATTAAAAATATATTCCTTTTCGGAAAAATGTTTCACACAATGACTTTAATAAAATTTTTTTAAAAAATTTTAAAAAAATTAGAAATATATTACATTTGATGGCTAACTTTATTATTCATTTTGTTAAACATATCTTCTCAAGGAAATTTTGAAAAAGTTCAATTTGGAATACATTCAGATACCCTTTAAATTTTTATCAACTCTTCCATTTATCACTAGTCCGATAGTATAAGGTTATGATACATTCAATATGAAATATTTATATTTAGAAATATATTACATCTGATGACTAACTTTATTAATCACAATTAGAATAAAAACCATAATTAATGAGAATTTTTCAATGAAATTTATTTTTTTCAATTTATTTTCTGGATGTAAGAAATATATGAAAAATTTTCATTTTGTAGACACAGAACTGGCAATTTTGGCACGAATTGTGCAGAATCACCTGGATCTATATAATCCTGATTTATCTGTTGACGAATATCAAATTGTCAAATTACCCCGCAGTTCAATTAAACAGCCGATATTATCATATACCGAAGATATCGGTGGCAATGAAAACGAATTAACCATGCTTACTGATGATCAACCGAAAATTACACGACCGGTTATCAAACTGCCTGAGGATGAAATTTATGAAACCAATGAAGAAACTGATGAGATATCCAAGGTTAGATTTAAAATAATATGCAATGAAAATAAGAGGAAAACTGAAGTATGCATAGTAAAATATTGTAGCATATTTATCTGAAGTGATAACTGTACCATTACTTTCGCTATCATTATACACTATGATTTTATTTTGTAGTATGTTTTGATACCAACAGAGGAAATGAACACAGTACCTACTGCTATGATAGAAAATGATCTGGCACCTGTTGATGATGCATTGGATGACCTGGAACTACGAAGCAGAATAGCTTCAATAGCTAATGCCTTGAATGAACGTGCTGCTCGAGGCTTATAAAGAAGAATCGAAAATTCCTGAGAAACTACGATTCTGAAATATCTCCGAGAAACTACGATAGCTGATTTCGATTAGATGTAAATTCTATCTTCAAAGAAACATAAATAAGAACTGTTCTCATTGTCCACATTTGTTATTTATTTCGTCTTCAAATGTGACTTTCAATTACAACCATTTGTGGTTTCATTGCAACTGAAAACATTTGTTTGGAAATTTATTTTGGAATGCTTAACTTTCTTGAGATAATCTTCCAATTTCTAACAATAATAAAAAATATATTCACTATAGACAATTGAATGACTTCTTATTTCAGAATAAATTTAACAAAAATAGTGAAATTTTTTTGAAATTAAATTGCACAATTTAAGAATTGACATCTTGATTTTAATTAAAGTGTCCAAATATCAATTTGCAATCTGTTTTTGATAAATTAGATGAAAAAATAGTTATTCATGCATCACTCAAGATTGACTTTTCGTAATCTATGTAAAGTGACTTAATTAATCTTGAAATTAACCAATATTAATTATAATTTGATGGAAATACTTTCGCCATTAGTGTTACCTACGTTATATTTATTATACATACTCCAAAATATTATTTCATTAGCAAAATGTTCATTGTAATTTATGCATTCATTTTTTTACTCACTCTATGCTGTTTATTGACGTAACTGATAAGATAAAATAATCATTAAAAAACAATCAATTGAAAAATATAAAATCTATATATTGAAAAATATAAAAATATGAATACAAAATACAAACCCCGAGCACAAATCAAAAAAAAATCCTTATTAATGATGAAAATTAGGCAAAGAATTTTATTAATAAGAATAAACATTGCTAAATCTACGAGTTTAATTTTGTTAGTGATTTTACTTTTATGTCACGAAACTAAAAAAATTAAAGATAAAACATCACCATTCTCCAGATCTCTCATATGCTAAGTGATTTTTTCATTGATCACTTATTGGGCTATATTCGAACAGCTTAGAAACTGTATGAACTTCGTGATCTCGTCCATCAGTTACTTGTTCTAGATGTAACTGATCATTAAAAGTTGCAAAGTTTACTGATGCATTTCAGACTTTAATTTAAAATGGAATTAGACATAATTCCGTTGTTCACTGCAATCATTATTTGTAAAGTCTGCAAATTCTTGCATTGTCAGAGACTGAACGATTTTCTTATTCAGCAATGTTTTTTTTCTCATTGAAAATGAAAGATTTTTAAACTGAATTTCTTGCTAAAAAAGGAAGCCAGAAAACAAATAACTAATATATAGCAAACTAGCATCCTCCCTCATCATTTATTTCGTTTTTAACTTAAACATAATTATCATCTCCTTCTCATTCTTTCCTTCATCCTTCTTGATTATTTATATTCTTCTTAAATTTTTCCTTAAATTCCGATGCATATATAATTCGATCGTTTCCGACAAAGTCGATTGCAATGAAAACTATCACTGGCAGATTTCATCCGATTATTTGTTTAAATGTTATTATTGTCCAATCAGGCTATAGGAAGCAATGATAAAATGATTTTTTTTATTACCTTTTTCAACTAAGTTAATATTGAAATATTATGAAAATGTTATTATTGGACTTTCAAGCTGAAGGAAGCAACGGTAAAGTGATTTTTTATTACGTAAATAGCATTTTTTAAATTAACAGAATACAATCATATAAATAGTTGCAATTTAGAATGCATGCTTCTTAATAAAAAAGTGTGAATTTTTAAAAAGTATAATTAAAAAACGACATTAGCATTTAAATTGTATGGTAAAATCAATATTAATAAGAAGATGACAATTTCTATAATTACGCTTTCTGTTTCTTAAATTATAAGTTATTCCAACTATTTTTGGTAAAATTACGATTTTTGATATCGTTTTTTTCGAATTCAATACAATTCCCATGGAAATAAGAAAATAAAAAATGAACAATTCACATGCATCAAGACTCCATGCAAACTAAAATTTGATACGTAAATGATATGCATTTAGTTCACAAGATCCTATATAACAAAATAATCTTAAACGCTTTGTATAGTATTGAAACAAGTTTAATTAAATATTCAGTGACTTAAAACAGATTATTAATTTGTGAATAATAGATTCACAAATATTAATCTGTTTTAAGTGAATATTTAATTACTCGTTCCAATGCTATTCAAAGCCTAACAAATTTAATCCTAACAAATCCATTTTCCTTAAAGTCGATATTTGCAAACTAAAAAAGGATTAAAATAAAACTTTCATTAAGTTAACAAGGCTCTTATACTTTATAAAATAAATACAACCGTACAAATTTTTCGTCAGAAATACCTAATCAGTGAAGTCAATCAATCTGCTTCGGTTTATTAAATTCTAAATTTGAATTAAAGTCAGAGTCTAAAATTCCTAGAAATTAAAGATTAATTTAGTGCTCATTCCAAATCCTGCTGCACGATTAACATACATCAAAATAAGATCACAGTCTGTCTTTCTCCTTCATAATTATAAATAATTTCACAAAGTAGAAAAAAACTTTTCTCAATGTAAAAAAGCAATATGAGAATAATGAACAAAGCATGACTAGGAAATAAAATAAATTCTGAGGATATAATGTTAAGCAAAGCCAAATAAGAAATTAATATTAAACAAAGTTGAATGAAGTAAAAAAAGTAAAACAAACTGACAGTCAAGTAAGTGCATAAGATTTTAAGTCATTTAATGCTGTGTATATATAGTGCTTTTTATGTCAAATCTATGCTTTCATGTCCGATCTTATTCGTAGGTAATACAGAAAATAAGTTTAAATGTTCTAAATTAGGATGTGGACATATTACCTTAGATATGAATTAGACTGAAAAAAAAAGTAAAAACTCATGTTTGAATCAATCAACCGGTAATCCTTATAGGAAATCTCATAAAAAACGATAAACTTTTGTTTGTAATCTTTTTCATTAGTCAAAATTTAAATTTTTTAAAAAATTTCTACCTAATAAACATCGTGGTTAGTTGGAATGCTTTTTTTCTAAAAAATTTTCTCTGGTCATTCCAATTTCGAAACAATCTCCGAAACTAATGTGAACAATTTTATCGCTAACACGGTTAAGCATCTGATGTCTGCAATATGTGCATGAATTATTTAACTTCAAATTCTTTTAAAAGGAGTGAAATATAAGAATTATAAAGTTATCGGTCTCCAAGTCTTAAAATGTAGCACAGCCTATCATTAACATTATACCGTTGAAATAAGTGCATTTGATGCATTGATCAAATCAGATTTCCGAACTGAAAATTACAAAAGGAAGACAAAATATAATTAGAGAGTGTGCATGACGAAATATTTTTTGATTAACAGTAACTGAATTGCTGAATAAAGAAATTTTTTTCAAGAATAAAAGGTGAAAAATTCAATATTTGAATAAATATGTCAGCTCACTTGAATGGTTGGCATGGATTCAACAAAGAAATGGAATGCTCCCAAGCGATCACAAGTCTATTGCTTTAGCTTATAATTATATAGAAATTTACTTTGAAGGTTTAAGCCACAAGATTTACTGCAAATCTACAGATCTGCCGGTTGTCATTTGAAGCGCATGTTAGAGTGCCTATAAAAAGTTTATGAAATTTAGAAGCAAAAAAACATGACTACAAATGGTACTAAAAATTTTGAAATTGAATTTTCAGGAATAATGTGATCTAGATTATAAGCTAAGTTTCGTTTAATTATGTGCTTCATTGATAATAGGATACCTTTCATTTTATAATTTTGTAATAATGAAAAAGTAAATGTAAAGCATACAGGTTGGAATCCAAGCAATTAAATCATTTACTCTAATTCAACACAATAATTCAATAATCTGAAAAATGGTGAATAACTAGATTTGAAAAAGCAAAACAAAGAAAAATTTTTATTTATTCGAAAAAAAACATTTAATTTTATTCGAAAAAAACACTACTTGTTGGAAGATTGTTCATTCAGAGTCGTCATGCTACAATCGATCATATCAATATAATTGGATTCAACAATTTGCATTCTTATTCCGAAGTTTAAACTTGTCCACTAATCAGTATAATTCTAGCCGCAGATATATTAACAAAAAATTGTAGCAGGCAATTAATAAACCAAAATTTTGCAAGTAACGCATGAAATGAATAACAGTTGCAAATGACAGTCACTGTAGCAATCACATTGCATATAGCAATCTTAAGAAAGTTATTACTTTGTTACTGCTTAACAACATAGTTTTCCACAACAGTACAGATACAGTTTGTTGTCAAAAATGCACGATAGAGTATGTCGGATAATCGAATAATTTTATAATATAAATTTTTTGAAATTATTAGTTATTTTGTATTGTGGAAATCTATACGATAAAGATTATTGTTCGATGGTTAAATTGGCTTAAGTTAAAAGAACCTCTTTGTTAACTTAACTATCTTTATTTCCGAAAAAGCTATAAATAGTGTGTTTCGATTTCACTACTAAGTGTTATCAGGATTGAATAGTAATCAACTCCACTCGTAATATTCTCTGATAATTGTTTTATAACTTACAAGAAGAAAAAATCCTCCATCAATCAATAAAACCCTTATTACAATTATTCGGCTTTAATAAAACTTAAGATAATTTGAAATAGCTTGTTTTAAAGGAAAGATCATGTTCTGATTAGATACATCGGAGAAGATAAGTTATAGTGAGTGAAGCAGAAAGTGATTGGTTTTTATTTGATGAAGTTTCTCGATCGATAATGCCCCCCGAGGAGACCACAACTGCGAGAATTTGGTACACATCGATAAAAGGCGATGATAACAGTGCTGATGTTGAAAGCTAAAAATTAAAAAAAATAATGAAAGTTATGCACATTCTACAAGAACAATTCCCTTTCCCAATAAAAAGCAAATTCATCATTGAAATAATTTTTAGTGGTAAGTGTATTTAATTAGGATTAAAAAAGATATTTAAATGTATAGGCATTCAGATAGATTGCTACTCTTTTCAATAATTTAGTCCTTTCTTCTTTACCTTCTAAATATTTTGGAAAATATTATGCAAATATCTGGTAAAGAAAAGAAATAAATACAAAATTTTAAATAAATCTGATAATATATTGGACCTAAAACTTTTATAACACTATTGTAATAATAGTTATATCAGTAATAAAAAATAAAACAGCATAATATTCAAATTAATTTAAACAACACTCGGCATTTTTAATTATGATTCTTATGTTAAATTTCTCTTCGATACTATGCAGCAAAATTGCATAAGAACTTATATCAAAGAAAACGGCAGCATAGAATGAAAAGCCAAAATGATTCCTTTCAATATCGAGATCAAATTTGAGCGGAAAAAAATTGATAAAAAGATAATGGAAAAATAAAGTATGGAAGAGGTCACTGAAATTACTATAAAGTTACTGTTATATTCATCTCTATCATCATTAGATATTTTCTCAATTGTACAAGTACTCTTTCACATTATCCAACAGTATCCAGTCAGTATTTATTTTATTGCCTTTTATTATCTTTGCGACTGGAGTTATTGCGCAATTCAAATTGCAACATTTAATTCTTTTTAAATATTCATCATGGATTCTTTTTCACTACAAATTGTTGCACGTCATTATTTATAATTCCAAAATGCGATCCTTCCATTCAATAATGCTTCTTTCACTGTCGCATCTATTAGAATCTATCGTTCACTTGTTGCAGTTAATATTGTGGTCCATTATTTCAAATTCCAATGATATCGTTGCTCATTATATTTATTGACAATTATATTTCTTTTTGTTTCTCATGTTATTCGAAATTATTAATAAAATAAACGATTTATCTTCATCCTTAATATTTTTATATTCATATTATATTTTCTTTAATATTCTAATGAAAGATATCTTCACAATCACGAATAACAGTTGAGGTGTCAGGAAGTGTAAATTAAATAATCGTTTGCCCATAATCACAATCTACAAAAGTTGGATCGACTGTTTTACTTTTGAAACTTTTCTGCACTTTTAAAATATTGCACCATTTTTCCTTCATCGTTAATTCTTAGTCAGTATGTGCATCAGATTCGAGAGTATTCAATTTTATGCCTTTAGCATCGACTGACTAATGTTAATTTTTTTGTTCAGGCAATAGTGCACACTTGCGATAAAGAAAAAATTCTCATTACCTATGGCTTAGGAAATAATGGCGGTAATGGTTTAGCATCTAACACTTTCTGTAAGCATATGAAAATTTGTTTCAGGAATAGTCAAGCAATTTGCTTTGCAGCACTAAATTAATCTGTGACACCATACCTGAAGTAATCCACTCCATGAACTATCCATACTGACTAAACTGTAACAAAGTCGATCACATTAAAGCAACAAATTGTGTAGCATAACACCACACGAAGACTGCTATGAGCATTTTATCAGAAATTCTGTCATATCTAAAATGAAAAGTAATTTTAATAACCTTTCCAATGCTTTATTGGATTTAATTTCAAACCACTATTAAGAGAAAAACTACTTACTAGTGATATTAACTGATATGCCTTCTTCGGTATACAAAATTATTTGGATGTTTTCAGAGCGAATGGAAACGCTTATTTTACATTTCCTGTCGCTACTCGCTTTCTTGATTGTTAATATTAAAAATTACATATATTTTTTGCAGTGTTGTACATTTTTGAGCATCTCAAAATTTTGTATTCAAAAAGCAAACATAAAAAAAGTATTTTAAAAATAGTACGTGTTTAAGACTGAAATAGTAGTTTTGTGCTTTGGGACCTTAATGAAATATCGCTTTACTAACCAAAATTTTTTGCTTTCAGTAGTTACTAATTACCAAACTATTTTTCAACTTCAAACCAAATAATCAACTATAAAAGATCTGAAGAATAATTGTGAAACGTTCGAGGAATTTGTGTCTCAAAAAATTAAAAGCCAAGAGAGTTATAACTCACTGCGGTAATCTTCTGTTTTAAACTGCAGAATCACATTAACTAGCTTGAGTCATTTGGATGTAATATTTTAAAAAAAACAGCTCAGAATTTGAAGTTTAAAATTAGATTCTCTTACTGGTAGAGAATACAGTATTTCTTTTAGAAGGCTATTGTACAGCATCAGTCAAGAAATGATCACAGTAATGGAAACAGAATTTCTTCAAATTTCATCCCATTTTCTTCAGTGTCATTAGTGTTAAAAAATTTAAGACGCTTTTCACTGTAAGCAATAAAAAATAATTAGTAAATTGAATAGATGCGGTGTGATATGGGGAAGATCGCAATTCTTTGTTGATGAAAAGTTCTGTGTCGCCATTTCTCCTCTTTCACACTTTATTCCTCCTGTCACTACTGTTAATGACATTTTCTACTGATATTTTCTGCATGCCGGCCATTTTGCCAGCTCCCTGCTGGTGAAATTGCTTCTGATCCCTTTGATGATTCCCCGTGAATTCCAATCTCTTCCATTTTTGTAAATTTGTTTCGTCACGAAAATGAGCCGATTTATTGCATATTGTTTACTTTTCTCAATTAAATAATCAATTCTGACATCACTCAATTAAGATATTCGAATTATTCAATGTGTTATATTCCAGAATGGAATATTGAGAAGAGCACGGAAGGAGAACTTCCATTTAATCCCAATGTTTTAATATTGTTAGCGCGCCGAAATTTGTACAAAATATTTTCACGACGCTATATAAGCAGTTAAAAGTTTGTGCCAATTGTTTGTTTTGCCATGAAAGAGAGTTTAGATTCTCTTGAATATTTTGGCATAAATTGTATTGCAAAACTATTTTAAATTGCTAAGCGTTGCCGTAAAAACGGTTCTCACAATTACTTCATTATCTTGAAATCAATCATTTTATACAATAAACACTTTGTTTAATTCCTAATATTGCTGATTGAATAAAAGATTTTTCTTAAAATGATTCAAGGTCAAACAAATAATATTGCTTGATCATCTTTATGAAGGCCAATATCGAAAGCATACCTGGTGTAGAGAGAATTTATCTCAACTCGGCTCACAGAGTCGAATTCGGAATATGAAGTAATTGAAAAATCTAATGTAGTACCATTTCATATTAACAAATTATTCTCACTAAAAATGATAAGAATTCCATTATCTGCTAGCATGAGAGGAATTACTTGTTAACATTATGCGGAATATTAGTTAAACTTTTATTCAGGGAAGTTTTTTGTAGCTATTATTTTCTTTGTATATATCAAATCATGTAGAAATGGCTAGTATTATCAAAAAAAGTTGTCGTATCAAAATAGAATAGGTAGGTTTTGTTAAATTTCGAACAGCTCTTCCTGAAAATCGTCTGACAGTTCTTCCTTCTTAGTGTTAAGTGAAGTGGTAACTTAAGTTTCCGTGTATCGGAGACAGTAATGTTACTCACAACATGGATCCAAAATTTTTTCATAACTATCGAAATAAATATTTGAATATAATAGGCATTGCTAAAGAGAGCAAACTACAGTATTGTGCGATGTGCACCACAGGGTGCACCCATCTCAGTGTGTGCATGTCTGTCCATTCTTCCCTCTCTGTTTACGGTAGTTATTTCATCAACATCAGCAAATGAGCATGGAGGACCGCGTTATATTGGTGGACGTCTTTGTGCACTTTGGCCTCGCGAAGGTCCACTATTCTTTGGCATGAGACGTTCATTGGAAATGTTGCATAAATGCTGAAGATTTTAAAAAGCAAATAAGAAACTGAACCACTTGTTTCCTCCGGTAGCTACTGGACATTCACGTCATGAGCGACTCCGAGGATTCTCCAATAACGGTAAGCTTCCTGCTATTATTCTTTACTTTTTACCTAAACTTTTCTCATAGCATATTAGCACAATATTATTCCATTGCCATATTATAACACTGGGATAGAGAAAAAGATGAAGTCATAATGTGACATTCCCGCTTAGGTAATAAAGTTAAATGACGTGCCAATAGCATTTGAAATTACTGAATGATTCTGTTTCCTGAATGCTCAACTAAATTGCAAAATTTAATTTAATTGAATTGCCTGAATTTCTTTGCA